AATATCAGGAGCACCATTTAACTCGAAATAAAGTGCAACACATTCATACTTATTTCTATTTTCCATGTTTTGGTACGAGACGGGGAATTTAGAGGCAGGAATCTAAAAATGTACAATGTGCTTTTACAACAGTTGGCAGACAAAATGTCCACGCTGCTACTAAATGTTATAACTAGAAACCCCTGTGAGACTTGAGAATATAACCCTCCGTTTTTTTTTTAACATGCAAAACACCAGGACGGAGCCAGAATTGGTGTGTGTGTGTGTGTGTGTGTGTGTGTGTGTGTGTGTGTGTGTGTGCTGCTTCACGAGTGCTGTTACTACATCTGCTCTACTTGCAGAGACTTCACCCTGCTCTCCTCGTGTCTCTGTCCCGCCTCAGCAGCAGCTGTTTGACCACAGAGCTGACAGCGAGTTGGACCACAGTCCTTTTCTTCATGAGCCAGGCTGGATCAGATCCCGTCCTCTTTTGCTTCTGTGGTCGTTCAGAGGCAACGACTGATGCGTCTGCATCAAGCCAGCCGTCACTCTCTTCTCTGTGGTCAAACCAGATGCAGCTAAAATTGGATCGGCCCTTTATTCTGACCTGTTAATGCACTGAAAGTTCCCAGGATGCTCATGTGACTGTGTCTGCTTTTTTATGAACAGGAAGTATCAAACATGTTACCTGTGTCCCTCAGAAATGCAAAAATCCATCTTAACTGTGATGGAATTTATTCTTAGAATTTGGGTAGCTGGACAGTGATTACATTTCAGTTCAGGAATACTCTGACCGACTCTTAATCAAACATTTTTACTTGATCACATTGTAAAATTGGCAAAATTAAAGTCCCGTTTTTGTGCACATTAAAATCAACACATTCTCACTTTGACCTCATCACATGTCCACATTTGGTCATTAGTACCACATTTAAAGAACTCCCTCTAAAGGTCCTGACACACCAAGCCAACGGTCGGCCATCGACCAAAGTCGGCCGTCGGTGAGCGTCTGTCGGCCTAGTTTTTGTGGTGTGTCCCGCACAGTAGGCACTTCGGCGTCAGAGGCTTTTCAACAGATAGAGCATGTTGAATCGACGGCGGAGCTTGTAGGTGAGAGAGATCACTCTGATTGGCTGTTCAGGTTTTATTTCCTCGCCCCTGTAGCGAGTGAATCTGCCTGCTAACCGGTGCTTCCTCCTCAGGCTCCACTTCACTCAGCTGCCCCACAGACCCGCTGCTTCTTCACACTTTAACCTGAATAACAAACCGGAGCTAGCTGGGAGCGGCTAGCAGAGCGTTAGCCGCAGCATGACCGGAGGGAAGCACAGCCAGTTAGCCTCCGCTAGTCTCTGAGCTAGCCCCGGCTCTCTGTTTGGATCCAACCGGAGCACCGAGCCCTGGTTTGTTATTCAGGTTAAAGTGGGAAGAAGCAGCGGGTTTATCGGGCAGCTGAGTGAAGTGGAGCCTGCGGAGGAAACACCCGGACCGTCTGGATGTAATAGTCCGTGGAGGTGCTGCGGTGCTCGGCTGCACAGATAGGAAACCCCTCGGCTGACAGGATGTACCACTCTCTCACTCCGCTCTCTCTCACGCAGGCGCAGAACGTACGTGCTACTTGGCCGTCGGATGTAGTCCGTGTAGTGTGTTCAAATGCAACTGACACAGGGCGACGTGAGGCGACGTAGACGACGCAACAGTTGGCTTTCGTCGCCGCTAGTTCTTTGACGTCAGTTTGGTGTGTCAGGGCCTTTAGTGTTCCTGAAGTATTGATTTCACAAGAATGGGACAGATGAGACATCACTGTGACTTTGGCCACCACATTCTGATCAGTTCATCTTTAAGTACATGTGGATATTTGTGCTAAATTATAGGAAATTCCATGAAGGCCCTCCTGGGACAGGAGATGGACAAGAACAAAATAACAAAGCCTTCGGCCACAGCTGTGAATAAAAAACACAAAATCATCAGCCAGTTTCCTGTCTTGGTGATTTTCATGTTGCTTTCACATCAACTGAAACCACTGTTTTTATGGAAAGTGGAAAATCAGATTCATAACTGGAGGTATTCTTTGGACACAAGAACACGATCATTAAAGTCTATAATATTTGTAGTTAATGGGCTAAAACATATAAAACCACCATGATGGTCCTTTAAGGTCCAACACTAACAGTGGATCTGATCTGTGACCCAAGATGTGTTGCAGCTTTTAATTTGGGGAGTGTTTGCATCCAGTGTGTTGAGCTTTACACTCCTGTCCCCGTCACTGACACACTTTACACAGCTACAAGAAACGACATGAACCTTTACAGAGTTTGTAATTAAATTTGATTCGCAGCAGCTCCGACTGAAGAGCAGATATCCTGCACTGTACTGTGGGTTACATAAAGACTGCTCCTCTTTACTCAGTGACAGTGATGTAGAGCTTTAAGATTACACAGTCCCACTGAGAGTTGGGAGATTGTCATTTGTGACGCCTGATGCAACCGTACGGCAACCCTGTGCCTCAGAGCTCACACTCCCAGCTACACCACGGATACTTTATGGCGTAACACTCACATCACCACGGGCCTTTCACAAAACACACACTCAGCACCCACAGGCAGAGGACACACACTAACACACACAGCTGTCTGTGCATATATTTAATTACATCCTCTGAAGAGCTTAAAAAATATTTATGCTGATTCTTACGTCAGCGTATCAGCTCTCTAAAGGGTGATCCAGACTGTCAATAAATATCTCCATCATTAACTTTAATGACACAACAGTGGTTTGGTCAAATCAGAAAACAACAAACAGAAAACAGATCAGCATCAGGCACGTAGTCCTGCCAGAGTCTGAGCTTTTCCAAAGTGGGTTCACGAGTTTTTTTATTCCTTGTAGATTGTTGCCTTCTTGCAGGATCCAAACCTTTGTCAACATTTGGCCATTTTCAGCGTGTGGGTTGTTCGCTCAGAGGTTGTTGTTGTTCCCTGCAGAGAGGGGAAACCATGATGACCTGATTCTCTCCTGCTTTTATTGAACCAATTCTGTCTTTTTCTTCAGTGTCATGGTTTGGAAACTGATCTTAAAAGAGCAGAAACTGTCTGAGTCAAACAGTTAAATGGTTCAGTAGGCTGATTGGTGAGTCACAGTCAGTGTCTCTGTACACCAGAGGATCACCAGCTCGATTTTAAACGACGACACCCTCCCTGTACACAGCCAATCTCAGCTTCTTCTGTCTGGACGAGGGTTCAGTCACAATACAGCGGTATGAGGACAGGTTTGTTGCAGCAGCAGCTCAGACAAACAAGTCACAAACAAGTCACAGCAACACTGCACACGTGCTGTAGAAGCAACTGTTATTTGGTGCTTCAGCAAATTAATGAAGCCTTGATTTATTTATTATGTATTTTTATAATATCTGTCTATTGTCTGTGCTGTATTGTGATGTGTGGACGCCTCGTCTGTCTGCTGCAGAACAAATCCATCTACAGGAACACATTAAGTACCCTAACCTGATAGAGAGGCTTCACTGACAGAAAATCAACAGAGAGGGATGTCGCATTAACACCAACAAGGTTTTATTGACAGGTTATGTCCTCCTAATGTGGCAGGAAGCAGCGCAGCAGTGAGCACTCGCTGTAAAGATGTCAGTAACATCTGTCCACAAGGTCCTTAAAACTTTATCAACTGATGCAACTACCACACACAACAACTGCAACTAGAGATCTTTTAGCCAACAAATTATTGTCTGTGCACTCGACTGTGCAGAGACAATAGAAACAGAATATATTTTTCACCTATCAGTCACCTTTTCTAATTAAATCTATTCTTTAAACGTGATCACGTTACATCTGTGTGAGAAATCTAAAGTGGGCAGACTGAATCACATCTTTGGTTTGAACGCAGCAGAATAACAAAGTGCAATAAAAGTTTTGATCCAGACCTGCAGTGAAGTGAAGGGACAGGGTCCGACAGGGACAGAACAGCTGTGAAGAGGCTTTTAACAAACTCTGGGACTTGGATGAAAGCTCAGATCTGCAGAGAGAAGGACCGCTCGCCTGCTGTTTTGTTGCTCTGACAGTCTGTCTCATTAACCAGAATCAGTCTTTGTGGTGTTCAGTTTAAAAGTTAATCAAAGCAGAGACATACAGCTGTCTGTGGAGGGGTCTGATCTGGATCTTTTAACCCTTAAACTGCTCCTGACGCAGCCAATCAGATGACGTGACGATGTTTACACCCACCACGAGTTAGCAAGTTAATACAAACTCATGAAATGAATGAATGGATGAGCTCTGTGGGTCTGAGCCAGTCTTTACTAGGTCACACACACACACACACACACACACACACACACACACACACAAGCTGGCAGTGAGTCTTATCCGGACGACATTCAGCCAAAACCTTCACACATGCACATACTTTCTACAGATATCTAAGAGGAACTCCTCAGCGTTTTCTATAAGTATCGGCCAGATATTAAAAAACATTTCCAGACAACTTGTTTCTTACTCAGAGACGCAGAGTACTGTGTCTAAGGTTGAGCATAAATGAGCCCTGAGAATGAACCTGGGTCATGAAGGTTTAACAGTGGAGAACGTTCCTCCAGATGTCCCGGATCAAAAGTCATTTCTTCTGTTTTCTTAGTGTTTACAACGAGAGGATGAACTCCACACCACCGTACAAACTCTTTAACCTCCCAGCTGAAGCCAGAAATGTCAGCGTCTGCATCCAAAAGTCCCAGGATGTCAGAGAACTTGATGATGTAAGTGCTGGGATGACTGCTCGTACGATCATTAGTGTACAACGTGAACAGAATAACAGAACCCACACATCCTTGACCTTGATGAACGCCTGAGTTAATAACTGTTTTCACCCTGCTGGACGCTGCGTGCACTTGTGGACAACACTGACTGCTGCATCAGGACACACTCAGGACAATAAAGTTCAGTTTCATGTGGAAAAAGTGACAAATTCCCCAAAATAATAACATGAAAACCAGCAGAGAACAGGCAGTGGAGACATGAGCATCCTACCTGTATCAGCGACATGTTGCTGAGGTCCAGTCTGAACAGGTAGTTCCTGCATTGAGAAGAGAGACAGAGGAGACATATGAGAGAGTGTGCCCAATGTGACTGGACTTTATCCAGAAAAAAAGTCTTTAATAATTCAAATTAAGTATCAGAGAAGAGACAGGCCATTTGAGCTGCTGTCAACTTAAAGCAAAGCCGATTAGAGGCCGTACTGTGACCGTCCGTCAGCCTTAAGTCTTTGTTTTCAGCTCCATGTGAGAGCTGTGGTTTTACAGGGACACGAACTGTTAGCTGCATCAATGTGTTTATAACAGGGTTAAATCAGGCAACAGTTGAACTCATGTCTGCTCACGAGAACACACACACACACACACACACACACACACACACACACACTCTCTGTCTATTGTGGCATGACGTACTCCTTCCAATTTCATTCCTTCTGCCAAATCCAAAGCTTGACTTGGTCCAAGGAGGCCTCAGCAGAGTACTTAAGAAGCATCATTATCCGAAAACCGCAGTGCACGAGTGAGTCAGAAAGGGTATCACATTCTCAGTAATGTGCTCTGTGGGGTGAAGAGCTGAGTGGATTTACAGTCCCTTACCTGGCACCCACAATAAGCTCATTCCTAGTCAGGTCAAGGGTGAGCTGGGAGAAGTCTCTCACGCCGGGGTGGGAGAAAATGGAAATCCACGGACTGAGCGCTGAGACAAAGACACAAACACAAAGAGGTTAGTGAAAACTAGATCATGTCACAGTTCAGGAGATAAAAGCAGTGACATTAACCACAAACAATAAAACACAGTATAGTTTACTTATGGACACAAAAGGCTTTTATATCAGCCGTTTAAGGAGGAAGAGGCCGTACACATACCGCCATTTTGTGCACTCAATTCACTGTTTTCAATGTAGACACACAGCAGGCACGCTCAAACGCCAGAGCAACGCCTGAGCAGTGTGTGCACGTTCCCAAGCGCCTGTTGTTCAGGATGCAATGGCTGCACCCTGACATGAACACAGTTTCATTTTTGGAAGACAGCAGCGTGCACCACGTCATGTGACGAGGACCAACCAATCACAGCTGACAGATATCTTTGCTTCTTCAGTAAATATCAGTGTGTGATAAATATGGAGGAGAAGTTGATCATGTTGGTGCAGAGCTGTCAGAGCGTCACATCTGTACCACAGAAAATATTTTAGGCCAAATACACACTTACAAAACATGGACTTCATGTCAGCGGCTGTGATAAGGCGCTTGTTAAGGTCGCTTAGCAACCTCAGACTCAACCTGCCCCCGCGCCCTTGAAAGTTGGCACAGAGTAGGCACAAGCGCCCGACCTGTGTTTTCCAGGCAGTTAAAGACGCAGCATGTTTGTGTTAAAGCGTTTTTACCATAGACTGTAAAAAGTTATGCACGTAGCCACCGTGACTGGTTTGTGGACGCCGTTTGGAAACCTTTACTTCGCCATTTCAACTGTTGCCGTCTTTTGGAGCCAGAAGTGCCTGTATTTGTTTGGTGGTTTATGGACACAGATTCATAGATGGCTGCATGTTTTTCATTGGAGACGAAACTGGTGAGAAATTAATCATGCATCAAAGACAAGAAGAGGAAGAGGGACTCTTTGTTTTCACCTGACGATCAGCAGCCAGAGAGGCAGTCAGAGCTACAGGCTACAATGAGGCTAAAAACAGAGTTCAAATGAGGTTTTTCCAAACAACTTTTTATGTCGGGGCTTCAGGACACTTGGATCACTACGGACGAGCAGTATGGAGATATTTTGTGGTTTCAATGATGTGTTTTTGGACGTTTGAATCTGGGGCGCCGTCAGCCTCCATTAGGTGGAGTTGTGTTGCTACCTCCTCTCCCCTTGGATCTCTGCAAGTGATGTGAGGACTCTAAAACTTCACCTGAGCCTCCCTCGGCATATGGGTGAGTAGATAATGGCTGAATTTACATTTTTGGGTGCACTATCCCTTTAAGTTTAGGCTCAGCCGCTACAGCACCAGAGTGTGAATGTGTGTGTGTGTGAATGTATGTGTGAGTGGGTTAATGTGATAAGTAGTGTGAAAGTGCTTTGAGTGGTCGAACGACTAGAAGAGTGCGATACAAGTGCAAGTCCATTTAACATTTAAGGTTTGGCCAGTATGTGAAATTGGCTTCAAAGACCAGCGCTGTTCCTGAAGGCTCGGGGTCGGTTGGTGACGAAAGCTGCGGTCGTACACATCAGCTGCCACCAGATCAGCCAACAGCAAAATTCAAGTGCTGAGTTTTAAACCGTAGAGGACAGTTGCTATGTATTGTACCACAATATGTAGAATTCACATACTTCTCACTAAAATGTTAACCAGAATAATATCCACATACACTGGTTTTCAGCTGAAAAAAAGTGGTTTGGTGGTTTATAGTTACTCTCTGAATAATTCATTCTGCAAAAACGCTAAACATCAGTTTGCTCCAGTTTCCAGAAGAAGAATTATCAAATGTCCCCTTTAGTAAGCAAACTGAGGATGTCACACCTGCCCTCCGGGAACCTCACTGAATCCACATTTTGTTTAGTTTTGTTGCATTTTTTTAAACTACAAACACTTAATATATAATTCCAAGAAGGATCAATACACTGATCTATAACAGGACAAACGATGAGTTGCAGCTGTAGTGGTAAAAAGTGCAGGGAAGTGTTCCTGTGCTGCGGCGGCGTCCCCTGCAGAGAGAGACAAAGCTGCCCAGGACACATCAGCCACAGAATCCTGATCGGACCTGACGTGGGAACAAACACAGCTCTGTGTGGTGTACGGGGCTGAAACCTCTGCGCTGTTTGAAACTGGCTTTTACAAATCAAAATTTCAAAGCAGCGGAGCAGAGGAGCCGCCTGGCGGGGCTTTTAATGTCACTTTGAAAACTGCAGGAAAAGAGCATTTTCTCTTCGATCTTTGTGTGACCCCAGAGCGCGGACCTTTAAACGGATTTCACTGCGTGGGAGGTTTGCGCAGCATAAAGGGATTTCCCATATTTCCCATGCTGTACACAGCATCACAGCGGTCGGTGGGAATTCAGATTCCCTTAACCAATTTGAAAAGCTGTGTTAAATAGCTTTCAGCCATTTCCACAAAGCTTTGAGAGAGAAGAAAGATGCAGCCGTGAATGATCATTTCAATGCCTCACATGTCTGTAAATGAACATACACAACACTGTGAACATGTTCAAATGAAACCGAGGAGAATAAGGTTGGTGGTCATGTGTGAAACATGCGGCCACACTGCTGATAACTTTATTCATTAAGGAAGCAGTCATCAAACATTTAAAACCTTAAACCTTCTTTTAAAGTCTGAGCTCGAGGCTACGGAGCACGACTACATCAAAGTGTTGGAGGAAGTCACAGCGAGCAGTGAAACGGGCTGCAGAATTGATGGCGCCCATATGGCTCCGTCATCTGCAAACATAACTGGATATATGTGTCATAAAAAGACATAAGGCTGCAGCCACTGTTCAGGATGCTGCTCCTGATTAAAGACACAGGCCCAACACACTCACACAGACAGAAACATGCACACACACACACACACACACACACACGTGCTGTAGCTGAGGGTGTCAACAGGGGAAATCAGTGAAATCAGAAGCAACAACCTGTTTTTACTGAGCTGCTGTCGGACTGAACATGACTCAGGGTTTTATGAGATGCAAGTGAGTCATCAGTTTGTTGTCAATGTGTAAAAGAGTGCAACTTTCAAACCACAACACAACTGTACATATAATTTAATGGGTCACAAAGCTTCCTCGTACAGAGAGCTGCTCCCAGTGACTAATCCTGAGAATATTCTTAGAATTTCCCCTTAAAGTTAAGACTAAGTCCTTGTGAAGATAAAAGTTATTCACAGAGCATAATTAACCTTAAAAGAGCTCCTGAGGTGAAGAACTGTTCGGAGCAGGGAGGAGGACTGTAAGAGAGTCAAGAGTTTCTAATGGAGGGGGAGAAAATGGTAGAAACACAAAGAGGTCAGTGAAATATTCCCCAAACGCTGGATGAAAGTCCGTCCGTCTGTCCATCCATCCATCCATCCATTTTGAACCCCTTATCTGCAGCTGGGTAGTGGGGGCAGCAGGCTGAGCGAGGTACTCCAGACGTCCCTCTCCCCAGTGACCCTTTCCAGCTTCTCCTGAGGGATCCCGAGGCGTGCCCAGGCCAGACGAGATATGTAGAGTAGAGTACCAGTTGGGCGTGACCGCAACATCTCTACCGGGAGGCGCCGGATGACAGTGAGTAAATTAAATGCTACAGATCAAGCAGGGAGAATATGTGTGGTTGATCTCATCAGGGATACACACTCATTTCCCACCCGACGTTACAACAGCAGAAATAAAACGATCACAACTCTGAGATATTTGGAAAATTGGAAAAACCCATCAGAGCAACAGAGATGAGTTGAGTCTGTCTCAACCTTCCATCAGCAGAGTGACACTAACACTTTCACAGTTTCATATTGTGATGCAGTTCATTTCATTTCCACTGAATCCAAATGTCCGGACTTCCCCGCACTTGCAGACTTTGCAGGCGCGTTCCCAGGAAGTCTGGGAGCGCAGAGGGCTCAAAATCCACAACTCATCCAGTCCACAAGGGGCCTGAAGTGGACTTTCTGCAGACTTCCAGAGAGTCCGTCTGGGCTGCAGACTTCACTGATTTAATAACTCACAATTCACTGCAATATGGACGTGACATTGTGTGTAATACAGTTACTGTAAAACTCGTGTGCCAGAAATAATACTCAACAACATCAAGATAGAGAAATATGTAGAGATATAAACTACAGAGGGGAATCAAGGTGTATTTTGCTATAGCAGCCGGCCCTACAGGCTGTGCAGTGAACTGTTAAATATAAAGGCTTGAAAAGTGTCTGAAAATCACTCTAAAGAAGATGTTGTGATGTAACTAACAGGCTGACCTGATTTATTTAGTCACAGCTCCTGATTCACAAACATCTCTGTAGGTTTCTATTTTGTTATCTGCAGGGACAGATGAGCAGACACAAGACGACAGCAGTCACAGTCATTGTAACTGATGCTCGAACATTTCAACTGCAACAAGTGAAACAGTCTCGAGGGCCGTCTGTCAGCGGCTCGCCGTCTCTCACAGAGTTCACGTGATGACGGTGAACTCAGTACGTACAACTTGAGTCCGCGAGTCCAGAGGGAGGACATTTAGATGCATCCTGGGTGTCCACACCTTGCAGGCTCACAAAACGGCGGGTCTGTGACAACCAATCACATCTGTTAAAAGAATGCATCACACCTAGCAACAGGGTCGACCACACCTGCTCACTCAGGTAAGCCAGTACTGGAGCCAGCAGCACATAAACATTCCTGCACACCAGCTCTGTGGAGGCAGGTCTGTACGTTCGCTGCCTGATATCAGATACAATAGTCAGGTCGTCCATCTCCGTCAGCTCTGTGGAGTGGGCGGATTCTGAGGTCTGGACCCAGGCAAACATTACTGCAGTCCACCTACTTTACATCTTCTACATTTATCTGTATGTTTCCATTTATTGTGCAGCCGGTGAAATAAGAGTCTGTTGACTCGGCTGACTCCACTTCAGGTTTACAGTGAAGTATCCAGGCTTCTTTCCTTCCCTTTGTCCTTCTGACGACCATTCACAACTTAAATCAAATGTTAAGTGTGGAAATATGTTGCTCACTGCGGCACAAAGT